CCTGGGCCACAGAATGAGAACCTGTCTCAAAAAATATATATGGAATTTAAAAATAAACCAATCTCTTATTATTTCAACAATGTGCACAGCATCTTCACCAGGAGATTCCATCTTAAGAAACTGCTTTCTTTGCCCATCCCTAACAACTCCTCATTTGTTCAAGTTTTTTATGAGATTGCAGTAATTCAGTCCCATCTTCAGGCTTTATTTCTAATTCTAATTCTTTTACTATTTGTACCACATCTGTGATGACTTACTCCACTGAAGTCTTGAACCTCTCAAAGTCATCCATGAGAGTTGGAGTCCGCTTCTTCCAAACTTTTGTTAATGTTGATATTTTGACATCCCATGAATCATGGATGTTCTTAATGACATCTAGAATGATGAATCCTTTCCAGTAGGTTTTCAACTAACTTTGCCCGGATCCACCAGAGGAATCTGCTGTAGCCTTACAAAATGTATTTTTTAAAATTATTATTTAATTTATTTAAGAGATAGGGTCTTGCTATGTTGCCCAGGTCGGAGTGCAGTATTATTCACTGGCACAGTACTACTACTAATCAACACAGAGTTTTGGCATTCTCTGTTTCCAACCTGGGCGGTTCACCTCTCCTTAGGCAACCTGGCAGTCTCCTGCTCTGAGAAGGTCACTATAGTAATGCCAAACTTAGCGTGGACACCCAATTGGCATAGCACACTATAGCTCAAAACTTAGGGACTTAAGCAGTTCTCCTGCCTCAGTCTCCAGGTAGCTGGGACTACAGGCAAAAATGTGCCTCTTAAATAATGAAAATTGAAAGATGAAAATGCTCCTTGTTCATGAGCTGCAGAATGTGTGTTGTGTTAGTCGATATGAAAATAGCATTCATCTCTGTCAGAGCTCTTGGGTGACCAAGTGCATTGCCAGTGAGCAGGAATCTTTTGAAAGGAATCTTTTTCTGAGCAGTAGGTATCAATGGTGGGCTTAAAATATCCAGTAAACCATCCTCTAAACAGATGTGCTGTTATCTAGGCTTTCTTCTTGCATTTGTAGAGCACAGGCAGAGAAGATTTAGCATAATTCTTAAGGACACTAGGATTTTTGGAATAGTTAATGAGTATTGACATCCACTTAAAATCACCAGCTGCATTCGTCCCTAATACAATAATCAGTCTGCCCGCTGAAGCTTTGAAGCCAGACTTTGACTTCCCTTCTCTAGCTAGAAAAGTCCTAAATGACATCTTCTTCTGATAGAAGGCTGTTTTACCTACATTGACAATCTGTTGTTCAGTGTTACCACCTTCATCCGTGGTCTTAGCTAGATGATCTAATTGCTGCAACTTTTACATTGGCACTTGCTGCTTCACCTTGCAGTTTTGTTATAGAGACAGCTTCTTAAACCTCATGATCCAACCTCTGCTAGCTTGAGATTTTCTTCTGCAGCTTCCTCACCTCTCTCAGCCTTCATAGAATTGAAAAGAGTTACAGCCTTGCTCTGCATTAGGCTGTGGCTTAAGGAAATGTTGTGGCTGGTTTGATGTTCTCTCCAGAGCACTAGAACTTTATACTAGCAATAAGGCTGTTTCACTTTCATTTCAAACATGTGTTCACTGGAGTAGCACTTTTAACTTCCATTAAGAACTTTTCCTTTGCATTCACAACTTGGCTAACTGGTGCAAGACGTGTAGCTTTTGGCCTGTCTCAGCTTTCAACCTGTCTTCCTCATTTCTAGAAGCTTAATCATTTCTAGCTTTTGGTTTAAAGTAAGCCTTGCAACTCTTCCTTCTCTTGAACACTTACTTAGAGACCATTGTGGGATTATTGGCCTAATTTCAATATTGTTGTAAGTCAGATAATAGGGAGGCCTGGGGAGGAGGAAGGGAGACAAGGGAACAACCAATTGGTGGAGCAGTCAGAACATAAACACCATTTATTGATTAAGTTCATCATCTTAAATGGGTGTGGTTTGCAGTGCCCCAAAACAATTACAGTACTAACATGAAAGATCACTAATGGCAGATCACCAAAACAGATATAATAAGAATGAAAATGTTTGAAATATTGTGGGAATTATCAGAATGTAACAGAGACATGAAGTGACACCTGACACATGCCATCAGGGAAATGGCGCTGGTAGACTTGCTTGATGCAGGGTTGCCACAAACCTTCAACTTGTAAAAAACGTAGTATCACAGTGAGGTAAAGCACAATAACACAAGGCATGCCTGTGTACTTATTCAGGATTCTGTCTTCTTAAAAAATTGACTCCTTCATCTTTATCACTATATATATCCTTCTTTATCCTTGATAACTTTACTGGCTCTGATGCCTGCTTTGCTTATGTAACTACTCCAACTTTTTTTAATTAGTGTTACCATGGCATATCTTTGTCCATTCCTTGCTTTTTTTAAGAAAAAAATAGACTCGGTTAGAGCAGTTTTTGTTCACAGCAAAATTAAACAGGAAATACAAGGAGTTCCCATATGCTCCCTGCCCCAACACACAGCATCCCCCACTTTCAGCATCCCCACAAGAGTGGGGCACATCATCACCCAAAGTCCATAGTTTACATTAGGGTTCACTTTTAATGTTGTACATTTTATAATGTATAATAACATATATTCACCATTATATTTTACAGAATTGGTTTTTGGTTTTTGGTTTTATTTTTTAGACAGAGTCTTGCTCTATTGCCCAGGCTGGAGTACAGTGGCATAGTTGCATCTTGGCTCACTGCAACCTCTGCCTCCTGGGTTCAAGCGATTCTCCTGCCTCAGCCCCCCAAGTAGCTGGGATTACAGGCGTGTGCCACCACACTTGGCTAATTTTTGTATTTTCAATAGGGACAGGGTTTCACCGTGTTGGCCAGGCCAACCTCAAACTCCTGATCTCAAGCGATCTGCCCACCTTGGCATCCCAAAGTGCTGGGATTACAGGCATGAGCCACCACACCCAGCCATAATAGTTTCAATGCCTTAAAAATTATCTGTGCTTCATTTATTTACTCTCCTTTCCCTCAACCTGTGGAAACCACTGATCTTTTTATTGTCTCCATAGTTTTGCCTTTTACAGGTTGTCACATAGTTAGAATCATCACTTTACTTCTATTTATTTATTTACTTATTTTTTATTCTTTGAGATGGGGTCTCATCATTTTGTCCAGGCTGCTCTCAAACCCCTGGGTTCAGGCAATCCTCCTGCCTTAGCCTCCCAGGTAGCAGGGACTACAGGCATGAGCCACTGTGTCCATCTACTGTTAATCTGTCATTGTCTTTTGTAGTTAAAATTAAATTTTTGAAAACATAAACCCATTTTTTTTTTTTTTTATGACGGAGTCTTGCTCTGTCACCAGGCTGGTGTGCAGTGGCTTGATCTCAGCTCGCTGCAACCTCCGTCTCCTGGGTTCAAGTGATTCCCCTGCCTCAGCCTCCTGAGTAGCTGGGACTACAGGTGCATGACACCATACCTAGCTAACTTTTTGTACTTTAGTAGAGATGGGGTTTCACCACGTTGGCCAGGATGGTCTCAGTCTCCTGACCTCATTATCCATCTGCCTCAGCCTCCCAAAGTGCTGGGATTACAGGCATGAGTGACTGCACCCAGCCACATAAACCCATTTCTTAAAAACATTTTCCCTTTTTATCTATTTTGTCAGTCTGTGTCTTTAATTGGCATATTTAGAGCTTTCACATTTAAAGTTGACTGATGTAGTTGTATTAATATCTGCCATATTTTAGCACTTATTCTTTTTTTTTTCTTTCTGAGACAGATTCTCACTCTGTGGCCCAGGCTGGAGTGCAATGGCACCATCTTGGCTCACTGCAACCTCCACCTCCTGGGCTCAAGTGATTCTCCTGCCTCAGCCTCCCCAAGCAGCTGGGATTAAAGGCGCCTGCCAGCATGTCCAGTTAATTTTTGTATTTTTAGTAGAGATGAAGTTTCACTATGTTGGCCAGGCTCGTTTTGAACTCCTGACCTCAGGTGATCCACCTGCCTCAGCCTCCCAAGGTGCTGGGATTTCAGGCGTTAGCTACCACGTCCAGCCTTATTCTTTTTTTTTTTTTTTTTTTTTTTTAATATTTTAATCTTTTTTTGCCTTCTCTGGTTTTGAGTATGTTATATGATTACATTTTCTCAGCTGGGCACAGTGGTTTATGCCTATAATCCCAGCACTTGGGAGGCCGAGGTGGGTGGATCACCTGAGGTCAGGAGTTTGAGACCAGCCTGGTCAACATAGTGAAATTCTCTACTAAAAATACAAAAATTTGCTGGGCATGTTGGTGGGCACCTATAATCCAGGTCCTTGGGAGGCTGAGGCAAGAGGTGGATGTTGCAGGGAGCCGAGATCATGCAGTTGCACTCCAGCCTGCGCGACGAGTGAAAATCCATCTCAAATAACAAATAACCATAAAATAAAAATAGATGTTCTATCCTCTAGGCATTATTAACTATGCTTTTTAAAAATGTTTTAGTGATTGCTCTAGAGTTTACAATGAAGATTTATAACCTAAGTCTACTTTCAAATAATATTATATCACTTTGTGTGTAGTAGAGAGAGTTCCCCACTCTTTCCTTCTGTGCCTTATGACATTGGTACCACTTACTTCACTATTCATAATCTATAATCATTCAAGGCATGGCGGCTGTTATTTGCTTGAACAGAAAGTTGTCGCTCAGATCAGTTGGGAATAGGAAACATAAAAGGTTCTATTTTATCTTCATTTTTTTTCTAACAGTCTTCCTTTCTTCATGCAGATGTGAGTTTCTGGCTTGCATCATTTATCTTCTTTCTAAAAGACTTTTAACATTTCTTGCAAGGCAGGTCTTCCGGCAACAGATTCCGGTGTCTCTTTGTATTTGTCTGAGAAAGTCATTATTTCTCCTTCACTTTTGAGGCATAATTTCACTGGATGCAGAATTCTAGGTTGACAGGAGGTTTGTTTAAACACTTTAATTTCACTTCACTGTTTCTTACATGAATGATTTCTGAAGGGAAGTGTGATGTAATGTTTTTGTGCAGGTTAAAAGAGCAGAACCTTGTGAAAGAGCTGAGGCCGCGAGACCTCCTGGAGAGCAGCAGTGACAGTGATGAGAAGGTCCCTTTGACTAAGCCTTCCTCACTGTCCAAGCGAAAACTTGAGCTTGAGGTAGAGACAGTAGAGAAGAAGAAGAAAGGGCGGCCTCGGAAGGACTCTCGTCTCATGCCTGTGTCTCTGTCTGTCCAGGTGAGGCCAGTGGGCCCATCCTACCTTCTTTAGCCTACCTTTCTGCAATTAGAGCTTGAAGGCCCTGGGTGCATGGTGAGCCTCAGCTGGGTGGGGCACCTTGAGAGCCAGCTGGCTTAGACAGGCAGCCCCTGACCACATTCCCCCTCAGACCTGCCCTTGACCCACCCAGAGCCCTTGAGCAGCTTCCCTGGCATCAACTGGCTTGTCTGTAAGGTGAAGATCCTTGTAGCATTCCCCTCTGCTTCCTACCTCCCAAGGTGGAAATGCCCTGGCCACAGGCTCACCTCACTTCTGGGTGACTTGCCTTTACCCCATAGTATTAGAGCGAGGTTCAGGAACTTTTCTGGCTCTTCCAGTCTCCAGCTACCCTAACTGCAGAAAAGGAGGCCATGTGTCTGTCTGCACCAGCACTTGCACTGAAGCTGCCAATTCCAGGCCCTCAGAGAGCATTCACCCTCCAGGTAAGTGCTGGGACCCTGCCAGTTCTCCCTCAGGCACACGCAGAGTTTCTCTGTCACCTATCCCACATAAACCCTCTCTTGTCACTTCCTTGGAGATTGGTTTCCAGTGGCTCTCTTATCACCTTCCAGTGGAAGTCACAGCTGATCGGGGTGCCCACTAACTCTTAGCAAAATTGCCAGCCTCCACTCTCACCCATCTATAGCCTCTGTCTGGTTTTGCACTTGGGGTCCCAGCTGCTTGGACTGCCATTACCACCACATGTTCTGGTGCTCTTTAGTACTCCTCTCAGGTGTCCCTGCTGGAAGCCACCTCAGTCTCCACACACAGCCCTGGGCAGCCTCGGGCTTGGTGTCAGTGGGACTCTGTGGTCATGATCTATCTCCCAACCATCCTGCTAGCTTTATCTCCTTCTCAGTGTCCAGCACAGTCGTCCTCAGAGTTGTTTGGGCTCTTGGAATGGAAGCTTGTAAGCATGTGATTATCCAAAACACAATTCTGGAGCAAATAATCCTTTATACCAAGAGCCCGCTGGTCATTTGGCCCAGTACAGAATCTAGGCCTCTCCCGCTGTGGTACCATCACACACACTGCTGCTTCTCTGCATACCCTTTGTACCTCAGCTAAGGTGCACGTCTTCGAGCAGCCTTCTTGGACCCTGTGTGCAGGTCACTTCCCACTGGCTGCACAGTGCTCTGAGCCCCAGCTGGTCCTCACAGGGCACCAGAGAGCCAGTGTCAGCCCTTCACACCATAGGTCCTTCTGGGCCACAGTACTGAGGAATGAAGCAGGGAAGCTGAAGGGTAGGGACCCACAGGTTTTGTTCTTATTTCTGTTGTGAGGGGAGGCAGGGGTGCCTCCAGTGGTCAGCAGCACTTGGATGTGCTCTTGCACTCACAGGTGTTCTGACGCAGGTTCCCTCCTGGGTGCCCTGCTTCTCAGCACAGAACTCTCCCAAACTCCTCTAGCCCTTCCCCTAGGCCTCTTCCCTGCCAAGTGCTGCTTGGGACATGGCAGTTGGCCCTCGGCCCAACTCACCCACTTGGGTGGCCACACGAGCACAGACTATTTGGTGGTTCTACCTATTTTTTTAAAGGGAAAAATCTATTGGTTAGACACGCATGCGGCTGAGCCCATTTGGTGCCAAACACTATAAACTAGTTGCTTCTCATACATGCTGTGCCGGAAACACTTCTGCCAGTTTAGTCTCAGTTAAGCAGACCAAGTCTCACTGCCACAAGAACTGGAGACGCCTTTTGGGGTTTTCTAGATGTTCCCTCCAAGCACTGACATGGGCTCTATTCTTGCCAGATACTGCCATCTTTGAAGCTCCTTCAAGTAGGAGACTAGAATCTCAAGTCTCACTCCCAGCTTGATCCTTTGCAGTGTGCTTTTGGGCACATCACTCCCTTGTGAGATGAGGTGGCAGGGTTGGGATTCTTTGGGGTCTTTAGCCCTGGCACTGCTTCTGTTCTCTGACTGTTCAACTACATGGATGACAGGGTAGAAACCAGTTCCCAGCATTCTCCTTGCCCTGGGGGCCACATGTCCCGGCCTCCCACTCAGCCCTTTTGCCCCACCTGCCCTTTCCCTCCTCTGTTGGCCAGTCAGTCTGCCTCTGTGTCATGCTGCTGCCCTGGGGCCCTGGGCTACAGAGCCTTGGAGCATGTCACCTGGGCTGCGGCCCTTGTCTGAGTAGGTCCATGTGTTTACTTCATCCAGGTCAGCTCTGATCCCTCCATGTACATTGAGGTGGAGAATGAAGTGACAGTGGTGGGGGGCGTGAAGCTGAGCCGCCTGAAGTGCAACCGGGAAGGGAAGGAGTGGGAGACAGTGCTCACCAGCCGGATCCTCACTGCTGCAGGCAGCTGGTAAGGGCGGGCAGGTCCTCAGCCGGCCCAGGTGACAGTCACACATGCCATCATTCTGGTCCTGGGCCTGTCTAGGGGAGGTGCATGGCCCTGGGAGCTCCAGCTCCCATAGAGGTTCACATCAGGCCTCACTCCAGGCCAGGCATATGCACTTGTCATCTCAGTCCCTGCAGCACCCAGCAAGGTCAGCATCAGTATCCCCATGTTATCGATGGGGAAATTGAGCCCTTGAGGGTTACCCAAGCCAGGCTTTGAACCTGATGGTCTGATTTCCTTGTCCAGCCAGATCCCCAAGTCTCGAGTTCCACACTGAGGTGTGCCTGGCTCACTTTGACTTGGGCTGGTTCCTTTTCTGGATCCCAAATTGGTCAGGATGGGTTTCTGACTGTCCCTGAAGTCCCCATCCCAGCCCTTTCCAGATTCTGCACTGTGGGGTAGACCTTGATCCAGTGATTGCTCACCCATTGTCTTCCCCTGGGCTCCTGGAACTGTACGTGAGCCCTCTCCCTGCCTGTGTTCAATGTGGAAGGGGAACCAGTGTTTCTCCTCAGGTTCCTGCCTGGTATAGCGTCCCAGTCAGGACTACATGGGAGACACTCAGCAGAGGTTTACAGACATGACCACTTAGGTACAGTCATCGTAATTATACCCTTAATCATCTGCCATGAGGTCCCGTGTAGATACTTTTACTTGTGTCAAAGCACATGGCCTTAGGTCTTAGACCACAATTCTTTTAAGCCCTGAGTGAGTTTTGTGTTGTTAGGCCTAGGGAACCCTACTGTTTATTCTGTTCCTCCCTCGAATTTCCCTTTCGGGATGAGGCAGCTAAACTCCCAATCCCAGGCACCCATGTGTCAGATGCTGCCATGGGTTCCTACTCTCTGTCCCTTGCCCCAAGGCAGGTGGCTTGCCCAGCTGAAGGCTAAGGGGTGTCAGCACAACCTTTCCCACAGTGACAAAACAGCTATGGGGCAAGCCTACTAGGCCACTTGAGACCTCCCCTCCTGCTCAGTCCTGCTGAGTCCAGGCCCAGCCTGCAGACCTGCTCCCCAGTGCTGCAGCCCAAAAATGATGGCTTTCTTTGCAGTGGGCTGGCTTGAGGCAGGCTCTGACCACCAGAGATGAGCAGATAGAATTCAGTCACAGCATTAGCTTGGCCAACATAGTGAAACCCCATCTCTACCAAAAATACAAAAATTAGCCAGGCATGGTGGCGTGTGCCTGTAATCCTAGGTACTCGAGAGGATGAGGCAGGAAATGGCTTGATTTCCTGGGGAGCCAGAGGTTGCAGTTAGCCGAAATTGCACCACTATACTCCTGTCTGGGTGACAGAGCAAGAACTCTGTCTCACACACAAAAAAAAGAATTCAGTCACAGCCTGCAGAGAGCTCCCTGCTGCCCATGCTACATAGAGTGTTCTCTGATTCATACTCTCCAAGTAAACATTTGTAAACAAAAGCATCTCACTTGCCTCTCCATGTTTGGAGCCAGTACCAACAGTGTCTCATTAGGAAAGCTGTTGGCGGAGCTCCTTCCTTAGCTGACCTCCTTGAGCCTGTTGGGGTCACTGGTTTAGCAGAATAAAGTGACACAAAGCGGCACTCTGAGTGGCCCGCTGTGGCCAGGATCTCACTGTACTGGCTGCACATCTGCTACCACTGCCTGGGGTCTGAGCTCCAGCCTCACCGTGGGCCTGTGGCTGGGCATTATGGGGCTCTCTCTGGAAAGGCAACAGCCTGCTTGTGCAGGGCCCACCCAGGGTCCTGGTGGTCACTCAGGACAGAAACTGGACAGTGTCCAGACTATTCTGTAAAGCACCCCTTGTTTTGGAGCGACATATATCTCCTACGCAAGCCAGGCAGCCTCCTGGACACAGAGGTGCATGCCATCATCCCCACACTTTTCCCAGGCTGCCTTGATAGAGACCTTCTCAGAACTGGTCTGGCTAGTTGCAGCCAGGAGACTGTCCTGTGGGTACTATGTGGCTTTATCGAATGAGCAAGACATGCTTCCTGGGTGATCATCAGGTGCATTGGCTCTCCAAAGCCCCCATACCTCTTGGTCAGCATCACCATGAGCTCAGGAAAGCCCGGGAAGCCTGTGGGCAAGAGGACAGAAGTCTATTTTATCCAGGATCTCAGGGAGGCTCCAACAGCCCCACCAGCCCCAGCCTGGCCCAATCCACCTCCCCCTCTGGCTATACCTGCTCAGGGTAGGGCCTTGTTGGGCCCAGCTAGAAGAAAGGCTCTGTACCTTCCAGGGCTGCTGTCTTGGCTGCAGCGCCCAACCCCCATAACACCTTCCCCCACCTCTGCCTTCCCAGTGACGTGGTGTGTGTCGCCTGTGAAAAAAGGATGCTGTCAGTGTTCTCCACCTGTGGTCGCCGTCTCCTCTCTCCCATCCTCCTGCCGTCCCCGATCTCTACTTTGCATTGCACAGGCTCCTACGTCATGGCGCTCACCGCTGCAGCCACACTGTCCGTCTGGTGAGAGGCAGGCACAGGGTGGGGTGGGCTCCAGGCAGAGTAGGAGAGGGCTGTGCAGGCCTTACCTCACTGCAGGAGAAGGCTGATCATCAGGCCCCAGAGGAGGCCCGGAGCAGTCAGTGATAGTGCTTGTGTTGGGTGCCTGGGGTAGGCTGAGGGCTGAGGGATGGTGTGCAAGGGGAATAGAGGCAGTTGGAGTGGCCCATGCAACCAGTTGCACTATCAGGGTCCTAGGCCGGGTTCATCAGAAATGGAGTCTTAGCTGGCAGATTGTGGCCATGTTCCTGATGTGGCTGCTGTGGCCTGGCTTCCCCCAAAGTGGTGTGGGTGCTGAGGTTCCCCATGGCTCTGTTGCCTGGGCTCTGTGCTGCTGCAACCTGAGGCACAGGGAGTGTAGGGGCACATGGGGTACAGAAGCTACTTATAGCCCAGAGCCCTCTCACTAGGAGAGGCCAGGTGAGAGGCGCATGCAGTAGGGACCAGGGTGTCTGAGTGACTGAGGCACAGTCTGATGTGTTTACCTAGGTTGGTGAGTAAACTGTTCCCTGTCTCCCTCCTAGGGATGTTCATAGACAGGTGGTTGTGGTGAAAGAAGAGTCTCTACACTCCATCTTGGCAGGTAATCCAGGCAGCAGGCTGCCCCTACTCTCCTGGGGGCCCAAGTACCTGTCTGATGCTGCAGAAGGGCCCCACTCAGAGAGCCAGGCTCTGGCCTCAGCCCAAGGCTCTCAGTGAGGCAGGAGGAGCAGTTGTGCTTCAGGAGACACACAGTTTCTGGGGACATGTTTAAATGGGTCCCCAAGAGGTAACAAGAGCCTGGTGTGTGGCAATGAGAATGGTTTGCCCTCCCTATTTGCCAAGGCAGTGTTAACATTATTTGCTGCTGAGACCACGGGAGCTAGAGTTCAGATTTCTCCTTTGGTGTGTTTACAAACACTTGCTGATCAGAACACACCTAAAACTCTTTCCTATGCTCTTCCCCCAGGAAGTGATATGACAGTATCACAGATCTTGTTGACGCAGCATGGAATCCCAGTAATGAACTTGTCCGATGGGAAGGCGTACTGCTTTAATCCGTCACTTTCTACATGGTAAGCAAGCTGACCCCCAGCCCTATTCCCTAGAAGAGTGTCTGTCTGCTTTGGAGAGCAGAGCATAGGGTCATGGCCTACAGGGCTGCCTAGCCCTGCTTTTCCTGAGAGTCAGGCCCTGGAGTCTAGGCTGCAGTGACTATCCATGCATGCTCCCCTGTCCTAGCAGGACACTGCAGCCTGTGGCCTCTCCCTTAGAGCGTATGTGCAGGAGCACTGTCCTCTTGCATTATTTTCAGGAGCCACTTTTTGAAAAAAGACAAAAATTTATATGGTTGTTGCTGTGGCCCCCTTAGCCACCATGAGCATAGGTGAGTCAGATGTACAGGAGCCTTACCAGCACTAGTCAATTTTTGTGAGTTTAGAGAGCACTTCAGACTTCCTCAGTGAATTCGTAAGATGCTAATCCACTTATCCAGGCATGATGGTCTGTACCTTTCCTCTGACCACTGTGGAATTTGGAGCTCTTTTCTGTACTTGCAAAATAATTTATACAACAGAGCTCTTAACCCAGCCACATGATATATGTATGTTGTGTTCTAGCCACTCCAAGTTCTTTTCTTCTATCTCTACCTTTTGTCCTTAAGAACCAAAGCTTGCTACCTCCTAGCCCCTTTTCTGTTAAGAACTGCCACGCAGAAGTTTATATTCACAAAGAGACTGTTTCTTGAATTTGGAAAAAAAAAAAAAAATCTGCTGGGTATGATGACTCACGCTTGTAATCCCAGCACTGTGCGAAGCTGAGAGGACTGCTTTATCCCAGGAGTTTGAGACCAGGATGGGCAACATAGTAAGACTGTCTCTACAAAAAAAAAAAAAATTTTTTTTTAGATAAGACAGGTGCAGTGGCACACACCTGAAGTCCCACCTCCTTAGGAAACTGAAGCCCAGGAGGTCAAGGCTGCAGTGAGCCGTGATCGTACTACTGCATTCCAGCCTGGGCAACAGAATGCAACCCTATCTCAAAAGAAAAAAAAAAAATCTCCACTGCCTGCTTCCCCAAATTGCAAAATGTTGTCTATTATATCTGATTGCTGTAATAATGGAAATAAGCTGACTAAGAAGAGAAATATTGACTAGAGGCATCTTTGTGTTTCGGACACATTTACAAAGACACCTAGCTGTTCTAAAAGTGTGTGAAGTGTTTTCTTCACAAGGATGAGAAGGGTCCCAAGAAGGCGGAAGGACTGCCAGTCTGAGGTAGTTGTAGAAGTACAAGCAGGTAGAGGCCTAGCATTGCTTGCCAGCTACAGGGCCCAGGCCACATGGGCTAAGCATCAGAGCTCACAGCACATAACAGGCCTGCAGTCATAATGAACCAATATTTGGAGCTGAAATGTTCACAGCAAGGGCTCTATCCACAGACTTCGCTTCATTCATTTTTTCTTTGGAACAATGATCTGTCAGGCCCATTATCACGAAACCTGTCAGTAATAGGCACCTGTGCCAAAGTGCAGGGGCGCTCAGCCTCTGCCGGCTTTCCTGCCCGTGTGTCGGCAGGGGCTGCTTCCCTGTGGCCTCCTTGACAGCCTCCTCCGGTAGATCTCTTGGTTTTCCTGAACTCTGTTCCTGCCTTTGCCTCCCCAGGAACCTGGTTTCTGACAAGCAGGACTCACTGGCTCAGTGTGCAGACTTTAGGAGCAGCCTGCCATCCCAGGACGCCATGCTGTGCTCAGGACCGTTAGCCATAATCCAGGGCCGCACCTCCAAGTACGTGACCTGAATGCTGTGGCCACTGTTCTTAGTCCTGCCCTGGGGGAGTGACTGGGTCAGAGCGTGCACAGTCCCACCCAGGCCTGGTCTCTACCTGCCTGTACCCCAGGTGCTGGTCAGCATAGGCACGCTGTGCAGGACAGACTGGGGGTGCTGAGGGTAGTGAGCCTGTGTCAGGTAATTTCTTGGGGTTGGGGGTAGCAGTCATTGGCCCTGTCACTTCAGGGGCCCAAATGGCAGGTGCTGTTGAGATGCCCCAATGGTGCCAGGAGGCACATGGCTGGGATGTGGGGATGGGCAGACAACAAGGATTCTGACATCTGCCAACAGACTGGCTGGTGGATGGGAGGCCTTGATAGCCCTAGTGCCTGCCTCCCCTGCCAGCTCCTTGCCTGAGGCACATGGGGGCAGTTCCTGACTCTGTATAGTGCCTGCTGCCTCATCATGGAAACTCTCCTGGTCTCTGCAGCTCGGGAAGGCAGGCTGCCCGGCTCTTCTCCGTGCCTCATGTGGTGCAGCAAGAAACCACCCTGGCCTACCTAGAGAACCAGGTGGCAGCAGCACTCACCCTGCAGTCCAGCCACGAGTACCGCCATTGGCTCCTCCTCTACGCACGGTACCTTGTAAATGAAGGTGAGGTTCCTAACAGCCCTGAGCAACCTTCTCCTTCTGCCCCTTCATCTTCCCAGGCCTGGCTCAGTCCCTGTGAAATCAGGAAAAAGGTGTGATGGCCCAGATCCCAGCCTACTGCTCTCACATCAACAAGGTGGGCCCCACAGCCTCTACCTCCCAACCTGAGCTGCAATGAAGGCAGCTCAGCAGGCACCCAGCCCCTTATAGGCTCTGGGTAGAGTGGCCCTGAGGGTGTTCCCACAGAGGAGCAGCAGGACAGGCAGCAGGAGGGAGGGATAGATGCCTGAGTAGAGAGACATGGCCTGAAGGAGCAGATTCTACATTCTGGCTCTTGAGCAGTGCTGCGAATCTGTGAGGGCATCTTGTGGCAGTGTTTCTCTTCGTGTCTCTTCCTCCTCGCAGCCTCTCCTACCTTGGACAGGCTTGCCTGCTGTCCTGGACTTCCTGAGGCCCTCTGTTCCTGGCATTCCCCACCAGAGCTCTCACCTGCAGAAAGTCAGGTGTGCTGGAAGAGGTGGCTGCACTGTCCTCACAGTGACTCCAATAGCCTTAGCAGCTTTTCCTCCCACTTGACTGCAGCCTCCAGGGTACGGCATGGGGCAGGCCCTCCCGAAGCTCTCCCTGTACAGCTTCCTGGCCTTTTTGCTTTATTTATGTCATCACCCTCCCCATTTTGATTACAACTTAGAAAACATTTAAGTACAGAAAAGACAGAGAAAATCATATCAAACCCTCACAAATATAATTCCCAGAACTAACATGTCACATGTACCTCTGGCTATGTCAATATGAGTGTGTTTGTGTGTGTGTGTACACTTGTAAACGACAGCAAATATTACTGATCAGCTTGAAGCCTCACTTCCCTCCCTGCAAGCTGCGATGATGAATTTGATGTTTACCCTTTTCCAGTAGGTCTCTGTGGTTGCCATTATGTGTGGCATATGTTTTGACATATTCAAAAGTCCCAGCTTTTCTGAATACTCAGCCTTCCCAGGCCCTCATACCTTTCCTGTGGTGCTGTAGTCACATCTTCCCTGGGAGCCCCTCCTCTCACTCCACTCTGGTTTGCTTCATCCTGGGTGTTGACTGGGACTTGTCCTGATGCCCTGCTTCAAGTCCCCACCCCCTCTTGACCCTGCCACCCGTCTTGGGATCACTTCTGCTGCTTGCTTCTCTTTCTCTGTCTTCCACACAACTGTTCAGTGTCCATACACCAGTCACCCACCCTCCTTTCTGTCCCTTGCTTCCTTAGCTATAAAAGGAGGAATCTAGTGTAAAAGTGGACCCCATTCACTTCCAAAAGTCCTCAGATTCCAGTTGCATCTCTCTTATTCTCCACCCTTTTCTTTGGATAATGGAATCCATTCCCTATTGCTTTAGCTGCCCCAAGTGCTGACAGTCCCCCACACTCTGCCTCCAGTCTTTCTGGCAGCCCTACTGGGTGGTGCCCATAATGCTTGAGTTGATGAGCCTATGCCTTCTTCACTCAGTTGCCCCTCTTCAGTTGTGCCTTTGCCATCTCTACCTCCTGCGGGCTGGCCTCCCCACCCTTCCGACCTCCTCTCAACACCAGCTGCCACCCCATCTTCTCAAAGACAGATCTCACCAGCCCATAGTTTCTCATATTTTCCCATCACCTTAAGGAGTTTATCACAGAACTGGCCACGTCTCATTTTTCCTCAGGGCCCAGTACACAGAGGAGGTACTACAGATGTCAGGGGAGTGAGCAAGTGAGTGAAAATCTGTGATTATGGATCTCAGTTCCCCATACTGAGAGTAGGCAGGGGTGTTTTGCCCATAGTAGGCGATAAAATACACATGTATTTATTCTGATTTGATAGATACAACAACATAGCATATTCTTGATTTTTATTTCTTTTTGTAATGTGTTCCTATTTCTGTTTTGTTTTGTTTTTTTGTTTTGTTTTGTTTTTTTGTTTTTCTATAATTAGGGTTTGAATACCGACTTCGAGAAATATGCAAGGACTTACTGGGTCCGGTTCACTACTCCACTGGAAGCCAGTGGGAGTCAACAGTAGTGGTAGGTGCTTCTTTCATTGTTGCTGCAAGAATTCTTTCTTGAAACGTGAAGGTGGAGATTTTTTAAATAAGCCAAAGTGCTTTGAAATTCTGTCCCATTAGACTTCTCTAGCACCCAGCCTCAGGTCCCAGCATCAGGAGCCATGGAGTGCTCCATCACATGCCTGTGCTGAGGGAGGCTGCCTGCAGGGCTCTGGGTTTGGTTGTGAAGATGAAAAGTACTTCCCTGCCTTCATGGAGCTCAGTCTGTAGGGATGCACACATAAGCAAGGAGGCAGTTCAATCAACAGGATGCTTTTCAGACTAGATTCAGAGTAAGAAGGAAGTAGTAAGCAGGGTCTTCAGATGAGAATGCCTGGGAAGGAGAGACCAGGGAAGGCCTCATAAGAGGATACTGCGGATGAAACCCAAGGAGAATAGTGAGATGGCCATACAGAGACCTGGGGAAAGTGTTTCCTAGTAGAGGTGAGAGTAAAAGCAGAGTGCTTGATCTGTCTGAAGCCACTGTGACTAGCATATAGAAGGCAAAAGAAGAGGGTGGTGGGAGATGAGGCAAGAGGTGGACTCACAAGGCAAGAGCCTTGCGAGGAGCTAGCATTTTCTTCTTGGCAGAGTTGGTGCAGAGGTGTCAGGAACTAAAATAAACAGTCAGGGAGTGCCTTCTATAACAGTCCCAGGAAGAGATGAGTGGCTTGGATCAGTGTGGTGGCCATGGAGGGGGAAAGGAGACAAATTCAAGATGTATTTTGGAGGCAGAACCAATAAGATTTGATGGGTGGTTAGATGTGGAAGGAAAGAGCATAATGAACATGTGACACCACCAGTTGTTTACAGCTGCAAAAAAAAATGGATACTGGAACCATTGATTAAATTAAGAAAGGAACATATTGGTGGGGGATGGGAGAAGGTATGGATCTAAGAGTTAGCTTGAAGCTTCATTCAGTCATTAAGCAGTTACTGATGGGGAGCCTCCCCTAGCCAGGCGTGTTATAGGCATGGAGCAGGCAGCAGTGAATAATGCAGACTGAGTCTCTACATTCATGGATCTGCTTTCTTATGGAGAGAGACAGACTAAGCACGTGAGAAGTGGTATCTGTAGTGTCTTGAGTGGTGATGGAACTCAGTCTGTAGGGATGCACACATAAGCAAGGAGGCAGTTCGGTCAACAAGATACTTTCAGACTAGATTCAGACTAAAAAGGAAAAAAAAAAGGGCAGGGGGCTGGGTGCGGTGGCTCACGCCTATAATTCCAGCACTTTGGGAGGCTGAGGTGGGTGGATTGCCTGAGCTCAGGAGTTCAAGACCAGTCTGGGCAACACGGTGAAACCCCATCTGTACTAAAATACAGAAAATCAGCTGGGTGTGGTGGTATGTGCCTGTAGTCCCGGCTACTTGCAGGAGAATTGCAAGAACCCGGGAGGCAGATGTTGCAGTGAGCCGAGATCGCGCACCTACACTCCAGCCTGGGCAACAGAGCGAGACTCCATCTCTCAAAAAAAAAAAAAAAGGTGTGGGGACAGGGGGTTACAGAATACTGGCAGGATGCTATTTCATGTTAGGTAATTAAGAAAGGCCAAACTAACAGAAAAGCAGAGACCAGAAAAGGTGAGGGATGAAGCCATCCATATGCTTTGGAGAAGAACATCCAGGCAGAGGGAAAGTACAAAGGCCTGAGGTAGGAGAGCTTGGAGTTTAAAAGGAACGGCCCAATGGAATGGTAATGGAAGGGCGAAAGGAGTTGACATCAAAAAGGCTGGAGGGTCAGCCCTCACAGGCCTTGGTTGTGTACAGAGGCCTAGGTTTTTATTCCATTTTTAAATTTGACTGTGGTATTCCTTAATTGACTTGGGTAATAGAATCCTAGATTCAAAGTCAAATCCCTTTAGGTCGTTGAGGCATTGTTCCATAGACTTTGCAGCTAGTGTTACTGCTTAAAAATAAAATCTATTGTAAATCTAATTTCCATTGCTTTGTAAGTACTTTGGGATTCTAGCTCGGTGTTTTAAAGATTCAGAAAGCTCATTTATTCCGTGGAAATAGAGAAAGAAACTAGTGATTTTCTTTTTTGATTATTTTTTCCCTTTCATTTTCCCCATCATCTCAGAGATGTAATATCCTCCCTTTTTAAAATCAGCTGTATCACCGGGTGCAGTGGCTCATGCCTGTAATCGCAGTGCTTTGGGAGGCCAAGGCAGGCAGATCACCTGAGGTCAGGAGTTCGAGACGAACCCCGCCAACTTAGTGAAATCCTGACTCTACTAAAACAATACAAAAATTAGCTGGGCATGGTGACATGAACCTATAATTCCAGCTACCCGGGAGCCTAAGGCAGGAGAAGCATTTGAACCCAGAGGAGGCAGAGCCAAGATCACTCCACTGTACTCCAGCCTGGGTGACAAGAGTAAAACTCCATCTCAAAAAAAAAAATCAGCTGTATCATTTTTTATGTTTTCAGTTCTCTGCCAGATTTTTAATTCAGTCTTTTATCTATTTTAGCATAGTAAGCTTATTTTAAAGTTTTTTGTCTGATAATTCTAGTATTGGGAGCCTTTGCAGATCTATTTCCATTGGTTATAAATAGTTCTGCTGTTTCTTATTCATATTGTCTTATCTCCTTATGTACCTGCTTATTTTTTACTGTCTGGTGGACATAATATTTGAAAAATTTATTGTAGAAATAGTTTGAGGCCTAAGATAATGTTATCTTCTTCTGCAGAACACTTCCAGTTGCTTCTGCCAGCTTCTTGGCAGTAGCACTGTAGGGATACCATGATCCAGTTCAGGGACTGAGGTTTTCTAGGCTGCCTGGAACTCAAAGCTGGGTGATAGCTGGTATAGAGGCTGGTTTACTTCCAGTTTTTACTTGCATACCTTTGGAATACTAGGACAAAGGAGGGGTAGGTTAGCCAGGGTCCTAGCCCCCGCTTTGGTCCCCCTAGGCCTTCAAGTTTGTGTTTTGTTTTTTTTTTGAGACAGAGTTTTGCTCTGTCACCCAGGCTGGAGTGCAGTAGCACAATCTCAGCACACTGTAATCTCCACCTCCCGGATTCAAGCGATTCTCCTGCCTCAGCCTCCCATTTAGCTGGAATTATAGGCATGTGCCACTGCACCCGGCTAATTTTTGTGTTTTTAGTAGAGGCAGGGTTTTGCCATGTGGGCCAGACTGGTTCCAAACTCCTGACCTCAGGTGATCCACCTGCCTCAGCCTCCCAAAGTATTGGAATGATGGGTATAAGCCACTGTGGCCAGCCCAGGCCCTCAGATTTGATAGAAATTCTGCTTAGCCTCTTCCTTAGGGGTAAATATTTCCAAAGCAAAGTATCCCTCTTTGGATTTCTATCTTCTCCACACCATGGTTCAGTCATTTGTCGTTAACATGTTAACTCTCAGAAGTTTGCTTCTATTTGTTCATCTTTTTTCTTTGTTGTCAGTGAGGAAGGTTGTTCTGAATTGCGTGGTCTGTTAATGGAAGGAAAGACTTGTGATATCTTAGATATCAGCTGCAGATGCTAACATTTTCTAAAATAACTTGTTCCCTGAATTATCTGCCTTTTCTGGGTTCAATCTTTGATTTGTTCATCATGGTGTTTACTTTAGAACATCTTACCCTATCTGGAAGTCTTTGGTTATCAGGTATGTTATAAGTGAAGGACCCAGATTGGTAGCTGACTAAAGTTTTCTTATATTTTTCTTTTTTGAGATAGAGTCTTGCTTTTTTGGCCAGGCTAGAGTGCAATGGCATGATCTCAGCCCACTGCAACCTCCGTCTCCCGGGCTCAAGCAATTCTCCTGCCTCAGCCTCCTGAGTAACTGAGATTACAGGCATGTGTCACCACGCCCAGCTAATTTTTGTATTTTTAGTAGACATGAGGTTTTACCATGTTGGCCAGGCTGGTCTTGAACTCCTAACCTTAGGTAATCCGCCAGCTTAGGCCTCCCAAAGTTCGGAGATTACAGGCATGAGCCACTGTGCCCTGCCTCAAGTTTCCTTTCGAAAAGTACAGCTGTTTGCTCAGCACATCTCACCTCCAGGGCAGGCCATCTACTTGAGCGGGAGGCAGGCAGACTCCTCCTCATGGGTAGGTGCGGAGCTTCAGTCTGATCCAGCTCTCATTCTGTCAGCCTTAGCCCAAGATTCCATCCAAAGCTCAACATAGTAGTTCTCTTTCTCAGCCTGAAAGTAATCACTCTGGGCTTTGGTGGTACAGACAGAAGGAGCCACAGTCTACCAATTAATGGCCATGATTTCTTTTTTTCCTCCTCATTCCTTACCAGCTCCAAACAGGACACTTCACTGAGGCAGTAAGTGGTAAAGAAGGAGAATTTGTGGTTCCCCACCCAGAGTCACCTGTCAGTGTGTACTTTCCACCCTCTGTAAAGGTCTCCTGGCCCTTCCCTCATAGTCCCAAGGTGGCTTCCATGTCCAAGATCAGGAAAGGAGAGAGAAAAGGAGAAATCTGGTAACAGTAACATTCACCCTCTCATCAGAAAAAAAAGTCTCCCAGAAACTAGTCTGTGCCTCACAGGCAACCATTAAATCACTTGGACATCCACCCCTACTGCAAGGAAGGCTGGGAAAATGAGCAGCTTTTCTGCCTCTGTACAAAGAATATGTAGGAGAAGAGGATTTAGAGCAGACATAAACATAGCCAATCCCAGTGTCTGCCAGATTCTCTCCTGATCTCAACACTATTCTGAATTTATTCCTTTTTTCTGTATTTTTACTGTCTTTTCATCTAGATATTGAGGCAGAGGAGATGAGTCAGCGTAAGCCTTCTGTGCTTTTGTTGGGTTTATTTACCAGCACTCTTTTTTTTTTTTTCTGAGACAGTCTCTTTCGTCACCCAGGCTAGAGTGTGGACTGCAGTGATGTGATCTTGGCTCACTGCAGCCTCCGCCTACTGGGTTCAAGCTATTCTCCTGCCTCAGCCTCCCGAGTAGCTGGGATTATAAGCACGCACCATCATGCCCAGATAATTTTTGTATTTTTAGTAGAGACAG